GGGAGGAAAGGCTGCCTGTCCCCTTCTACCTGCCACAGGGCTCCATGTAGCCCAAGAGATTAGAACCCAAAGGGGCTTCTGGGCGTCTTAGATGGGCAGGTAGAATTCTGGAACGCACGTGGGCCCTTTGGGGTCTTTACAGACCAGAGCTCTGAATTCTGGCTCTGCTCCTACTAACTATATCAGTTATGGTAGGGCAGGCTATGCCAGGGTACCTATAAGCCCATAACTTCAGTGGCTTAACACAGTAAAAATTTATCACTTACTCTGTATAAACAATGTGAAATTGTGTGAGGGTGCCAGCTTCCGCCTAGAGGTGATATGTCAGCTTTGCATACATATCATCGGTGGTCACATGACCAGAGCTGAGTCCTGTTGACATCTCACTGGTCAGACCAAGTCACATGGCCTCAGTGAGTCGTCCTGCTCACATTTCACTGGTTGAAGTAAGTCACAGGCCCCAGCTAACATCAGAGGGAGGACATGTCGTCCTGCCTTGTGCCAGAAGGCAGAGAACCGGAAATATTTGATAAACAGCCCTAATGATCACCACACTAGCCAAGTGACCTCTGAGCCCATTTCCTCTTCTGCAAAATGGGGACAATAACAGTATTTAGCTCATAGATTGTTGTGAGGACTGAGAAAATTGATAAAATACTCTTGGCACAGTGTAACACATCGGGTGAGTAAAATAAAATTCAGATGCCCCTCAGAGAGCCCCGGCTGAGGCTGAGACCAGGGGTATTTGTGAACCGCAGGGATTCATCAGGAGGCTCCTTGCTGCTTCTGCCAACATTTACCCCGGCTCCCGATGCCCAGCACTGAGTGGTCGGCAGAGGCTGGGTGGACTCTCTGCAGATGGGCCTCCTCCTCACTCACTGGAGCAACGAGGACCACTTGGGCCAGCCACACGCCCTCCAGCCCGGTGTCATGCCTCTTCATATCTGAGACTTCCTATCCTTCAAGGGACTTCTTTATTATAAATTCACCCTGATGTCCAGTTAGGGGATGGGGGCCCACTGAAGGAGGGACAGAGGATCCATGGGAAATGTGAAGGAGATTGAATTAACGTCCACTTTGTGCTGAGCCTTGTGCAGGGTGCTGACCCAGGCTGCCTCACTGCCCACTCCTAACAGGCCTGTGGGGAGGTCTGGGCACTGTCCTCATGTTGAGGTGAGGAAATTGACGCCTGGAGGAGTTACAGAGCTAGTAAGTAGCAAAACTGGAATGTGAACCCACATCTCTGTGATTGGGAACACCATGCTTTGGCTTGTGGGCTGTCTTTTGTTCTGTTGCACAGACTCAACTTTTATTCAAACCATGAACTCACATGCAGCCCAAATCGATGTTTATTTGGGCCCTTTTACACTGTTGTGGAAAATTCCCTGCTCTGGGACTCCAGGGACCATCTCATAGTCCTTGCTCTCTAGCTTACTGTCCGACTTTGAACAAGTCTCTTGACCTCTCTGGGCCAGTTTCTTCACCTGGAAATGAAGCTGTTGAACTAGATGGTCCTAGGGCTCTTCTTGACCCTAGGATTCTGTGACACTGAGAATCGCCTATTCCTGCCTCTGCCTTTGGCCCTAATCCTGTATCGGAAAACATCACAGAGTAGAATGTGGATGACAATCCCATGTTTAAGGTTACATGGAGTATCAATTAAGCCCTCATTAACATTTGAAACCAAAAATAGTGTTTTGTTTTTTTAGACTGACGGGGTGTTTGTGATTCTCAGCAGTTCTCTTCTTCTTTGCTATTTATAACAAATTCTGGTTTCCTCTACGGCTAGGTCTGTCTCCTCTGTAACAGAGGAAGTCAGGCTGGGCCCGTGCCTGAGCTCAGATCTCTGAGGCTGCACCCCAGTTGGCTCCCTCTGACATTCTGGGCTCCTGCTAGCAGGCAGAGCTCGGCTCTGTCTCCAGGTGGGCCCTAGAGGGTTTGGCTGGACTATCTGCCGGCAGGATGGGCTGATGCCTGCTCGCCCATAGAATGAAGCACAGCTGCTGGGGTGCGGCTGGGGGTTGGGACTGGAAGTCCAGAACTTTGTACTTTCCACCCCAGAATTTCACATCACTGCTCAGATAGTTTCTGCAAATTCTGATGCCTGGTGCTAAACCTAAAGATAAAAGGTCTCAAGTTTAGATCACTTCTACAGACATTTCTAAGGCCTAAGGGTATTCTTAGGTGTTTTGACTTGTTACTATAGGGTTGCTTTTGAGAGCTGGCTGTACCCGAGAAAGCTGGGCCAGATGGCTGCCCCAAGTTGCTCCTGGAGTATTTTAACTACAGCAGTGTGGGAGCTTCCTGCCTAGGAGAGGGTCCCCCGCAACCCTCTCCCCAGGTTCCATCTGCCCAGACACCCACAGCTCCTGTCAGGAGAAGTGATGGAGGCCTCAGATGCCTCAGGAAAAGAGCCTCAGCTCAGAAGAGTTGGGGCTCAAACTCCAGTCCAACTGGGGAGCTCAGCACCAAACACGGGGTAGTGTGTGTGTGTTTCCCTGCTTCTGTCAGGCAGAGAAGAAAGGGTTGGGCAGGGGGTGAGGTCCATATAGGCAGCTGGTCCAGAGAAACTTCAGGGTCAGGGAAGGAAAGAAGAGTAGCTAGAAGGAGGAGAGGTGGGGAAGTGGGGCTAACAATCCGGAGGAAGCAGTGACTGTGTGGAAGCTGGACAGAGGCTGAGGAGTGTAGGGATTGCCCCAGGCTTCCTCTGACCCGCCAGCCTAAAGCTCTGCAAGCTGCAGATTAAGCCTCTTTCCTACCATTTGGATTCCCATGTGACCTCTGCCCGGTTACCTTCTCACATCTGGGCTGCAGCACCCAGGAGTCAGATCCGGGAGTCTAGCTGCCTTGCTGCCCCCTGGTGGCCCAGAAGGGAGCTGCTTAGGTAGGGGCCACAGCTGCCTGGAGGCCCTGACCTCTAGGAGGTGCGCCTCGAGGCTTCTCCCCGCCTGGAGGGATGTGGGGGTTGTGAGCAAGGCCTGCAGCAGCTCTGGAGCCATTTCCCAGCAGTGAAGCTGTGACTCAGAGGGTCACCTACTCTCAAAAGTTAGAGAGGACCTCCTGGAGGCAGGAAACCAGACTCGAGTCCCAGAGAAGTCCAGTCTGGTGGTGGGAGAGCAGCTTTGCAAAATGCTGCATTATCACCCAGGAGGCCCAAACCTAAATCAAAATCCTGGGCCAGAGCCCTGCCCCCTTCCTCCAGTCAGTTGCTTGGAAGTGGTCTGGGGAGTCTGGAACCAGACACACGAGTTCAAATTCTGGGTCTGTTGCTTATATGCTGGGTGAGGCTCAGTTTCCCCATCTGCAGAAATTGAAAAAGAATAACCTTGTGAGCAAGGTTAGAGAATGAAATGATAATATTCATATAAAGTACCTTGTTTAAGTAGGCACTCCGGAAATATTAGTCTCCTCTCCACCTCTTATTTTGCATGCAAGATGGAGAGAGAATGTCCAGGATCTGACTGAATACTCGGTTGGCTTCCTGCTCTGAGAGGGGTGAGCAAAGGGCCCACAAAGACCTGCCTCTAGGCTGAAACGATGATGAGAAGTGCAGGATTCCGCCAGGACCTGCTTCCCCTCCTCCACGGTTGGAGCACTGCAGGTAAAGCTCCTATTTTCCATCAGGATCAGGGAGAGGGCTGTTGATTTGCCCTTGAAATTATCTTTGTTTCTTGCTTTGACCTTATGAGGTCAGACCAAACGGGAATCCAGGCCACTGGACGGTCACTTATCTGTGGGGCTGGGTGGGAGAGAGACGGCAGGGAGGAGGCACCAGCAGCCGCATCCTCAGACCCTAACCCACACCCTTGCCCGAATCTCAGACTTGGTTTCATCACCTGAGGGTGATGCAAGAGCCCTGGTGTCAGGCCCGCCTTCCTCCCCTCCCCCAAGCACTTGGGTCCACATCTGGAGCTGCAGCTGGGTCCTCCACCAGGGGAGGGGCTGGGTGAAGTGAGGGAGGGCAGGGAGGGCAGCTGGCAAGGCGCCCTGTGAATGGACCCACTGTTGGGAGCTGGGGGGCAGGGAGAAGGTGTCTGGGCTCAGAGGCAGGAGCCATGCAGCAGAAAGGGGATTCTGACTTCCATCCGCACTGGTCTCCTCCATCACCGTCCTGAGTTTAAGGTCTCCAGGGCTCCCCTTGCCCTTTGCATCCACATAAAGGCAGCTACACTCCTCTGCCCCCTCCCCCATCCACCTTATCCGCAGCCTCGACCCAGGTGCCTGGATTTGAGTGCCCACTTTGTTCTCTTGTCCCCGCAGGGCAGCTCAGGCCTCCCACACTGACCCTTTGCCCACAGGGCCACAACAAGCAGAGCGTGAGGAAGGCGCAGCGGGGTCATCTGTGGGTCTTAAAGGTCAGTGGAGCTGGACTTGTAGCAGAAGAGAGGGGCCATTTAGGCTAGAAGCCTGGTCAGAAACAACCGAAAGATGAACGTTAAAATGCAGGTTAGAGGTGGAAAGAATCTTAGACCCTAGCAAGAATCTCCTGCCAAAAAGGTTGAGAGTCCACTGGAATAAATGCAGAAGGGAAATTTACCGGGCGCTTTCAAAATATAAACCGCTAATCGCGGCGAGGTGCTTTGAAATGAAGCGCTCGAGCCCGGGGGACCTGGGTTCTTACCCACCCTCAGCCAGTGACTCCCCGTGTGACCTTGGGTGGTTCCTCTCTCCGCGTCCCAGCTTCCTCATTTAGGAACTGGGGGTCCCATCGAGGCTAGGCTCTGCGACCCCGGGGACCCAGGCTCCGGCCGGGTCAGCTTCTCGGCCGCGTGTCCCGTCCTCCCCAGCCCTCCAACTCGCCAGCCCCCCAGCCGGCGGGTGGACGCGAGCCAAGGGGTCCCTTTAAAGGCCTAAGTCCCGCCCCTGCCGCTGGTTCGGGCCCTCGATTGGTGGTTCCGGGCGGGGCGGGGCCCGGCGCGGGCTCCGCGGGGCTCGGGGACGGGTCCTGGGCCAGGCCGGCCCCCCGCCCTCTTTGTTCGCGCTGCGGCGGGAGGCGGCCGCGAGGGTGGGAGGTGTGCGCGCGCGGGTGCCGCGCCGTGGGGAGCGGCGGTCGCCCCACGGGCTGTCAGCTCGCCCTGCGCCGCCGCCCGAGGGCGCGAGGAGGGACGCGGGCCCGGCCCCGAGGGCCCTCCCGGCCCGGTGAGCCCCTCTGCCCGCCGCCCGCGAGCATGTCACCTCCAGCGGCCGCGGCAGCCTCCGCCAGCAGCGCCCGCGCCTCCCGCAGCCGCCGCCGCCGCTGCCGCCCCGGGCACTGGCCCCCGGACCCCCGCGCCTGATCCGCGCCGGACCCTCGCCGGAGGACCATGGCTGGCCAGGGGGACTGCTGCGTCAAGGTGGCCGTCAGGTAGGAGCGCCGGCGCGGGGCGAGTGCGGCGGGGCTCGGGCTTTGTCTCGCGTGGGCGCGGGGCCCGGGGCCGCGGGCGCCCCTCCGCCCGGACTGCGCACTCCCGGGGGGAGCGGCCGGCGTGCGCCGGGCTGGAGGGCGCCGCGCGCAGGTCCCGCTGCCGCAGGGGGATCCCTCGGCGGCCCCGCGGGCCCTGGAAGGTGGCTTTGTTTGGGTGGTAATTTCGGGCCCCACTCGGGAGCCTTTAATGATCAGAAAATCGAATAAACAAGGAAATCCGGTATTTCACACCCAGCCCTGGGCCCCGCCGGAGCGTCTGTGTGTTTCCTCTTCGCCTCCCCACGGGGCTGCTGTACCATACGGGGGTGTTGGAGGGGGGAAATCTGCCCCCATCCACCCTGGTGGGCTAGTCTGTGATCTTGGTCCAGCTAGGAAAGCAGCGCACCGACCCGGGAGCCGGTTCCGCAGACAAAGATCGAGTGCAGGGATGCGTGGAAGGGCTAGGATGGTGCCTGGCCTCCCTCGCGGCGCCAACGGCTTCTGGAGAGCACGCTGCTGGCCATGCACCCCAAGAGGAGATGGGACTAGTGGGAGGGAAGAAGAGGGGTTTCTGAGGTGTTACCTCTGAGAGGGCAGGAGGGTGTGACACTGAGGCCCCTTGCTTAGACAGACATACAGATAAAATTGAGTGGGGGAGGGCTGCGTGGACCTGTCTCCGAGATACCCTGACAGTTGAGGTGGGAGAGGACAGGACTGGGGGCTTCTACTGGGAGCGATACACAGAGAGGCGAGGCAGGAAATACTGCAAAGTTGAGCCGTCTGTGGTCTTTGTGTTGGGTGGGGATGCCTCACACCATGCGGCCCCTCCCTGTTTGTTTGGGTCTTTCTCTCTGAGAGGGGTCTGTGAGTGGGACAGTGCCCATCTGAGGCTGGTCGTCAAGGCAGGGGTGGTGGAGAAGATGATCCATGTCTGCCCCAGCTCTGTGTGATGGCAGTGGAGGGGCGTCCAGGTCTAGGGTGGGTCTCTGAGGCAGGTCTCTAGATTCCCTGGGTTGCAGGTGACCCATATTCCAGGAGTCCAGGAGTCCAGGGAAGCCACTCCAGACAGGATCGGAGGTGGCTATGGGAGAGCTTCTCCTTCCTGCCCCAGGGCAGATGCCCCAGCCACCTGGCCCACCCTCTGCAGTGAAGAGAGGGGTGTGGACAGCTCTGGGGGGAGGCGGGCTGAGGGAGGGAGATGGAGGTGCTTCCCACGCATGCACCCCAGGCTGTGCTCAGAGCATCTCTTGAGCATAGTCTTGGCCCAGAACAGCTTAAGAGACAAAGAGGAGCCCGCAGGTGCCTGGTGGGCTGGCTGGGGCGGGGCCAGGCTGCTGCTGGGGCTGACATTGCAGCAGGAGCCAGTGGAGGTCGGGGGAGGGCTGCCCATGAGTGGGGGAGGCAGTGAGAAATGTAAATATGACATCTGCAGCAGATTGGAGCCCAAGTGCCTCATAAAAGGGAAATGAAGCCCTGGCACCCGCCCACTGTGAACCAGGGCTGGGAAGGAAGGGACTTGGGGTGCCCCTCCCAGGGGGGCTGTCCTTTAGACTCCATCTTGCAGGAGTGCCAAACAAAGCCCCTCTGCCCCGCCTGTGTCAGGGTCCCCACGCTGGACTGGGGCATCTTAAAGTGGTGGAAAGCCCCATGGGATGGGCACTTAGTGCAGAGGATTGCGGGAAGCTGGTGTCCCCTTCCCACCATAGCCACTGTCACCGGAAGGATTTGGGGACCCATCCCACAGAGATGGGATTGTGCTGGCCCACTGTACCCTGGTCCTTGGGGTGCCGGGAGTCAGCTCTGGTTCCCTCACAGATGGCCCTGGTGGGATCTGCACGTCCACTCCTTGCCTCCCGATGCCGATGTGGATGGAGTGGGGGAGATGTGAGCGTCAGGAGAGCCAGGCTTTCGGGGGCCCCTGGAAGGTGGGGGCCTCACCCACTGGTCCCCTCCCACCCCAGCCTGAGCATCCAGCCCGGCACACGCCAGACCTCAATGGGCAGCGGGCCGTGGAAGGCAGACAATGCCTGGACAGAACCCAGTTTCTGATCAGAGCCGCCGATAGGACTGGACTAGGCTGGGGCTGGGGCTGGGGTGGGAGTGGATGGTGCCCCTGAAAGACTGGGGAGAGGACTCCCGTCTCACGAGTCCCCTTCAGCCCCCCATCCCCACCCCCAGAAATCACTTGTCCCACCTCAAGGACGGGCTGGTGGCTGGAGTGGAGTACAGCCTTGCTGGGAAGAGCCAAGAATTTGGAATTGCCAAGGGCCTTGCCTAGAGCCAGGTTCAGCTGCTCTCCTGACATTCTGGAAGTCCTTTCTTATATCTAACTGAAATGCTTTCTGAGCCCCTGTGAGCGTAACCGTGAGCCCCGGGTCCAGCTCTGGAGCAGGAATGAGAGACTTGATCTTGTGCGTGCGTGCGTGCATGCGTGCGTGTGTGGTGTGTGTGTGTGTGTGTGTAAGGTGTGTGTAAGAGACTGTTACGCCTAGGTGAGTGGGGCAGGCCCAGGCCCAGGCCCTGTGTTTCCCTTGGGAGGAGGACCAAAGCTGGCTGGCTGTGGGTGAATGCAGGGAAGGCAGGGCTGGGAACAGCCGGAGGAGGAAACTTTCAGGACTTGGGGCTGTGGGACCAGAAAAGAAGGTCGAGGCCTGAGCAGGCCTCATAAGTCCCACCCCAGACCTCCCCTGGAGTCTGGGCCATCTGTCCCTGACCTGCCTTTGCACCAAGAGATTCCCAGGCCAGCCTGTCCTGGGCTCCCTCTACCTGGGGCTGGGAGTTGGGGGAGGCGGGAGCCGGGGGGAGGCGAGGCTGAGCTGTGCCCTGCCCTGGGCTCCAGAAACCCAGGCCTGACTAGTGGGGGAGAAGGTGAAGGGGTGGCTGCTAAGAAGTGCAGGCTGACCAAGTTGAAATTGGGGAAGGAAGCCACGTCACGTGGCGCATTCAAGACCCTTTCAAGTCCCTACAGTGAGGGGAGCCCTCAGTGTGGCCTCCTCCTCCCCCCTTATCTCCACCAGGTTTCTTTAAGCTTCCTTCCTCCGGTCTGCTGGTGGGGGAGGGGCACCTGCCGGTCCCATGTCTGTCTGTGGGCACCACAGGGTTGGGCAGGGTTGGAAAGGGGATGCGGGTGCAGAAGCCCAAGGACCTGCGGGGCAGTGTCCGGCTGCACCCTGCCCTTTCCCCTCTGGGTTCTCTAGCTGTGCTCATTTCCCCCCGTTCAGGCTACTCTGGGATCTTGGTCAATGTCTGCTTAGAGTTTGAATCAAGAGAATTGATGGCTTGGAACAAAGAGACTGAAGAAGACAGAGAAAAGTGTATGAGGGTGGGGACACAGGGAGCCCCGAGAGTCCCACCATCTGCTCTGACACAGCCCAAGGCCAGTGCTGGTCAGTGCCCACGTGTGCCACGCTGTCCAGTCTATTGATCTGGGACACCGAGGCCCAGACAGGACTCCTGCGGGCTGTGCGGAGACCTGAGAATCTTGGTGGCAGCCTCCTGCCGCACCAGAAGGGCTTATGTCATCACCAGGAAGTGGAGTAGTAGCCACAGGCCCCGGAAACTGACCCCCTCCGCCACCCACCCGGCCTTCAGGATTGCTCCGAAGCTGACTGGGTCTCAGCCTCTGAAAGGCTCTCAGTAGAGGTGGGGTGGGGCAGGGGCCGGGGAAGTGGCAGAGGTGACAGGAGCCTGGCATCATTACTCTTACAGCCCTCGGGACAAAGGGCAGGACTGGGGCCCACGAGACTCATATACTGGCTGGGCCATGGGGCCCCTTTTTGGTCTGTTCTTCTGGACCTCGGTTTCACCTGCTGTGGAATATGAAAAGCTGGTTTGTGCTTATTCGTTCATTTGTGAAGACCAGTGGTTTGGATGATGTAAAAGGCAGTCTTTAAAGCGTCAGCTCCTGAGGAGTCGAGTGTGGATAAAATGAGACACCTAGGAGGTGTCTCTCTGGCCTGGGCTGTAGCGGCTGTTGGGTAAATGAAGGCTTCGCCTCCAGCCCTCTCTCCTTCCCTTCCTCCCTCCACAGCAGAAAGCACACTGGGATGGGAAGGAGGCTGAATCAGGAGGTGGCCAGGCAGCAAGATTCACTGAGCACTCACTCTGGGTTTGGGGTTGTGCCTGCATCATCCCACTGCACCCCACCGGAGCCCCGAGGGGTAACTGATGTCATTCCCACTGTACAGATGCGCCAACGCTCACAGCCAGTAAATGGAGGAGCTGCATTTGAACTCGGCACTCACTTCTAAGCACAGGCCCCTCATACCGCTCTAAACTGCTGAATTGCGGGGCTAATTAGCTCTTTGCTGTGAGTCTCCATGCTTCAGTTTCCTGACCACACACAGCGGCCATGACCGTGAACGTGGGGAAGTGTGTAGAAGGCATGTGGTGCTGTGCAGACCTGGGCAAGGCGAGGCAGTCCGGATTTCCCTCCATGGGGCTGCTCAGCACGGGATTGCCCGTCTCCACTGCGGTCCTAGCCCCTCGGCCATGCTGTTCAAACCTGGGCTCGGGGAGCTTCTCCCTTCTGCTGGGCAGGAGCCTCCTCCGGTCCGCCTTTCCTTGGACCCCTGCAGCCAGCCCTGGGGTTTGTTTCCCTGCCCGAATGCTACCCTGCCACTCTCTAGGAAGGAGGTTCTGGGGACAGCCAAGTCCCCTCTTGCTGTCCTTCTCCTCCCTGACCCATGACCCCTGACCAGTTAAAGGGCACGGCCCCAGGGGTGCTGGGTCTCCTAGCCTCTCGTTTGCCCTCTAGACCTGGCAGCCTGTTGGGGAGGAACAAGAAGGGGCACCAGGAGGCTGCTGGCTGGGAGGAGAGGCTGCTTCCCTGCCCTGGGAGGGAAGCCGGGCTGGGATGGCGGCTGTCAGGATGGGCTTGGTGCGGCCCTTGGGGGCACGGCCTGCAACTGTATCCTGGCCTCTGGCATGCTCCCCCTTCACCCCGGCTGCTCTGGGGTCAG